CCTCGAGCTGAGCAACAGCAGCCAGCAGGAGAGTGAACAGAAGTCCAAAGGTACGAGTGGCAGCAAAAATCTATTTTAACAGGTTTATTTTTCAGTGACACAACTCATTTTTCTTCAGGATGAAATACTAAAGAAACAGAGGCTGACTACTCATTTCACAGTCCGCCTATTCCCTCACCGTCTTCTCACTCTTTTCTTTTGTAGCGTCTGCGAGTCAGAAGCGGCAGAAAGAATCACAGACTGGCGGCGCAACAAAGAAACACAAGCCAAACCGCAAGAGCCTCGGTGTGCCTCCCAAAAAGAATAGGAAAACAGGTAAGAAGAGCTGTGGGTAGAAATGATGACACCCGCTAACGTTCTCATTTTCAGCGCCAGCACTGCTTTCATGTGTCTCCGTTTCATTTATTAACCCGTTTGCAGGCATCATGTAACAGATGCCAGGTAGGAGAGGATTTGAGGCGTTTCCTGTTCACTGCATTTTCTTTCTTTTTCCTCTTTTTCTTCAGCCAACAGCAGTGACAGCGAGGACCAGTCTGTTGTTGAGGGCACTGCCAAATCAACTGCCTCTAAAAACAACCCATCGGAGCTGAAGGCTGCCACTTCGCCCAAATGTCACGGGCGATCTCCCCCTTCGAGCCATAAATACCACAAGCAGGGTGATGCAGACCACGCACAGCACCGGGATAACCACGGAAGATCGCCGCGGGTGTACAAGTGGAGTTTCCAGATGTGTGCGTATCCAACCCATTTGGTTTATGCTTGTCAGCTCTTTAGTGCTTCTTGTGAACCTATCCTTTCATTTTGGGTCCTCTCAGCTGATCTGGAGAAGATGACCAGCCTGGAGAGGATCTCGTTTCTTCAGGAGAAACTTCAGGACATCAGGAATCACTACCTCTCCCTCAAGTCTGAGGTCGCCTCTATCGACAGACGACGAAAACGCATGAAGAAGAAGGAACGAGAAAGTGAGTCAGCTCTTTATTGTCTGGAATAATAACTAGCATGTTATTTACTAAATTTGGTTCACCATTAAAGCAAGAGGAGTAAAACAGGAAGTCACTGTCGCATCTTCTTCTTTTTTTAATCAGCTTAACCAATCACTGCTTCTGCTCTGCAGGCACAGTGGCCGCTTCCTCCTCATCATCCTCCTCCTCCTCACCGTCCTCCAGCTCGCTCACAGCGGCAGTCATGCTGACGCTGGCAGACCCTCCGGTATCATCCTCATCGTCCTCATCTCAGAACTCCGGGGTTTCAGTGGAGTGCAGGTGACAGGACGACCCAGCAAGGAGCCACACCGCACGAAGCACTTAACCAGCACCCTGGGGTCAGCGCCCCGATTCCCTTTCAACAGGATGAAAAAGTCGACCCACATACTGTAACTACGGGGCACAAAAACCAGACCAGAGACAAAAAAACCACGAAAAAACAAAACAAAAGAGAAGAAACAAGCACTATTTTTTACTGACAACTGTTTTCTCGGCAAGCTAATGGCACTTAAGTGCACTTTTATGACGATTGTGTAGGGGTGGGGCGGGTGAAATTTGTCCAAAAAAACCAAACCCAACATATATACAGATTTGACTTTTGTGCTTTACTTAATTGAACATTTAAAAGAATTGTTTTTGCAAGCAATAATTGTTTCCATTTGATAAAGTTGTATTGCAAAGGGATGATTTCCAGTGAAGACCATCTGTCATCTGTCCTCGTAGCCCAACATGGCGCTCGCCATGTTATTTCTGGAAATCTGGAGGAGAGACGCTGCCACATTGGCATTAAGGGCATAGGAAAGGTAACTTTGCTATGTTTCTCTCTGTTTCATTAAAAAAAACACAAAGAAAAATAAAAAGGACCTTCATGTGGATGGGGTTGCCCTCCCCATGTACAGGCAATCGCTCCTGTACATGGTCTGAATCAAGTAGGTGGTGATGGATAAGGTTTCAGCACCATCGTATGTCCGCTGATGGCCTCAGTGGATCATAAGGAATGATACTGTAGTGCCTTTTTTTTCTTTTTTCTTGTTGTTGTTGTTGTTCTCCGCGGGGGCACTTTGAGAAAAGGACAGTACTTTCTTTTCCTGATCCTCCTCTCAGATCAGAGCGTTAGCTGGAACAACGTGTCCCATATAAAAGACTGCAGAACGCTGTGAGTGAGCGAGTGAGCGGGCAGTGAAGGGCTAAGTCTTGGCAGGTAACGACGGGATGTTATCAGTGTATTAGGATTATTACGGTAATTGTAAAAGCAGAGCTCCTGTGTTGGATCACCTGCAAATCTACTACTGAATACTCATCCACAGATTACTGTTGAGATAACAGTCTAAAATGTGCAATGATGGAGGTTGGCGAATGCAATGGATGCATTAAATCAGTTCATCAGCCTTTTTAAAAGCCCATCTGCTTTTTTTCATTATGTTTCCATCCTCCATTTTTTTTCAATCCCCCCACTTCAGTTGCATCAGCTTCACTGATGTTAATGTTGCATATCTGCAACCGGATCGAGTCAAAAGTCAGAACACACACAATCAAAGCCGAACTCCACGTTTTCAGTGTTTCCACCTACATGAATTTATTTAATTAAGTACATTTTCACTTCATCGAAATGATGCACACTTTATTGGCATGACATGCCTGCTTCTCACACTCATCCCTACCAAAAGAAAAGAAAAAAAAAAGTTTGACTCTTGTTTCTTGTACTATGACCAGAATAAAGGTAGAGATATTGTAAATGTGCATTTATATGATAAGGTGACGTACATGTATACATTTCTGAAGACATCTCCAGTGTTTCCTTTGTATAGACCCCCCTACTGTATGATATCCGGAAGTTACATTTTGTTCGGCACTTGTATGTAACTGTATGCTTTTGTTATAAATTTGTATATTGAGAAGTGTTTTGAGTCGAGCTATTTAATATCTTGCACTGTTAATAACATGTACTTTTCTGTACAGACAGTTTTATGGTTTTAACTGTAGTTTGAGTGTAAATAACTGAGGGTTGCAGCATGTTCCGTTTTTGTTTTTTTGTCCTCTTTCTTGTTCTGTTTATTTGAGCTCATTTAATGTTGTTCTGTTCTCCCTTTCTCATCAGTTTTGAGTCTTTATCTAATTTCATGTTTGCTTTAGTTTTTATCCAGTTTTTCTTTGTGTCTTTTGTTTTTCTATAGCTTGTGCTTGTGAGAGAAGAATGGTGGTTTTTGGATGTGGCTGAACTATTTTCCAACCTGTACATGGCCTAAAGCTAAAGCTGTATGAACTTGTATACAGGAAAAAGTCTGTGTCATAGATCAACAGAAAGTAACGGAGCTTATTGAAAAATGCTCAATAGTATTTATTAGGCTCATCTGAGGATGGTCATTGTGTAATTTATTGTAAAAATGTAAGCAAAGCAGAAGCCTCTGTTTGAAATAAATGCCATAGTTTGTGAAGTACTCGGTGTGTCTCTTGCATCAGTGGTGGAAAGTAACTTTAGTCAAGTCTTTGAAGCACTTTACTCAGACACGTCTCTGTTATTATATAATTCAGTGATGACCAGCAACTGTAATCACTTCTATCAAAGCAGAGGTTTTGGCAGTTTGCCAGTCTGCAGCATTCAGCGGTGTGTTAGCATAACGGCAACGAGGAAAGACACCAGCAATCATCTTGGGGAACCTGCCCGTCAATTTGGAAAGGCTTTTAATGCAGCGTCCAAACAATATGAAGCCAATCGCTCTACAGCGAGAAAGATAAAAACTACTAGAGTGGGCATCCCAGGAAATTCACCCCAGGTTTATGACAGCACAATTAGAAAAAGACTGGACAAGTATCATGTGTTTTGTCTCCAGAGAAAGTCTTTCCTCCCCAAAAAGAACATGGCAGCAGTGTTGGTTTAAAAATGTGCATCTGAACAAACCACAAGACTTCTGGAACAATACCCTCAGAGCAGACAAGACCAAAGTAGATACATCAGACCATAATACCCAGCACCATGTTTGTTATAAACCAAACTACACATCAGCACAAACCCCCTCATACTAATTGTCAAGCATGGTGGCTGGTGGAGGGGTGATGATTAGGGCTTGTTTTGCAGCTACAGGACGTGGGCATGTTGCAGTTAGTCGACCACAAAGACCTCTGTATACCAAAGTATTCTAGAGCCAAATGTGAGGCCATCTGTCCGACAGCTAAAGCTTGGCCAAAATTTGTTCATGCAACAGGACAATGATCCCAAACACAGAAGCAAATCTACAACAGAATAGCTTAAAAAAACAAAAACAAAATTATGAAGGTGCTGCAGTGGAATGCTGCGGTGAGATAAGAGATTTGTGCATAAATCAATGCCGGCAAACCTCAACCATCTGAAGCAACTTTATAAAAAAGAGTAAGTGGAAATTCCTCCACAAAGATGTGAGAAACTGATAAGGTCACAGCGAGGTGGTTCTGTTATAGGGGTGTGCTTAGTTTTTCCTCTTGGTCTAATTTTTGTTAAATAAATAAGAAATAAAAACTTTTTTTTTATTATCTAAGACGTAAAACCTTAGAACTGAAAGACTACATTTTAAACCATAAATTTAAATACTTGTTTTTGTTAGTTTGTACATAATTATTTTTTTTAAATGCAGCATTTTAACTTTTTATCAATTTATATTAATATTATTATTATATTATGTATTTATAATATTTATATCTTAAATATTATTCTTCATCATTTTGATTTTAATTTAAAGCATGGCTGGGTAAAAGTGCTAAGGGGCGAAATGTGGCCAAACAAATTATTCGACAGATTATTATTGGTAATTTAACTACATTATACATTAATTTTGGTAAAGTACAGATTATTAACCAGATTAATGATGGTTAAAAGCAACTAATCTTTGTGCGTTATTTATATTTGCCTTTGCTAATTAGCACAGGCAGTATATAAAATACTATACAGTCTATGGTTATTAGTGGATGTTTTATTTCCTTAGTTTGAGCTTGTTTGTTGCTAACTCAGATGTTTTGGGGTAATTTGGGTCACATTTCCCGCCTTCGTCTACGTCATCACTTACGTACTTCCTGGCACACTTCCTCAGCAGCGTGCTAGCTGCTAGTCAGCGGCGAGCGTGGCTGTTCATAAGTAGTTTGAGAAATGTTGAGCGGCAGGACGAGCGCGCTGGTCGCCGGGGTGTGTGGTGCTCTTTTCATCGCATACTGTGTTTACTTTGACAGGAAGCGGCGGAGTGACCCCCGTTTCAAGGAAAAGTTACGTGAGCGTAAGTGTGCATGTCAACGGCGTAAACTTAGCATCGTAGCACGTTAGCCTCCATGTGACCGCGAGGACGTTAAAAAAAAACACTTAAAGCTTCTGGAAACTAATCAAGACTGCGTATTTTCTGTAGCCTTGTAAGCTCCGACTATGGTAACATTTGCTCTAATATTATGTCCCTCAGCTGCAGAAGAAGAAAAAGCATGCTACAAGCAACAGCTAGCAAACTTATTCCCTCGTGTTTTCCGTGTTGTACAACAGCAAACTAAACATGCAGCATGGTCTTAAAAACCCACTTCTCTCTCACAGGTCGACGAAAGCAAAAGGTTTCCAGTGAGAAGACTGGGCTTACAAAGGTAGGACATGTAGAAAATAATCGATTCTTCTCTCATTTTGTTTAGTTGGAGCTTAAATTTGTTTTTTGTTTATTAACTTGACTTTGAAGCTGCCGAACTTGAAGGACGAAGAAGCTGTCCAGAAATTCTTCTTGGAGGAAATCCAGCTGGCAGAGGAGCTCCTAGCACAAGGTCAGCCACATGTTCATTCACAGAAAACACATGGAAGCTTGCAGCATGCGCAAGACGCACACCACTCATATCACTGTAACTGTGGCTACACTGGTGTAGTGACTCTCTACAAAGTTTTAAGCCCTGATACATTTTTAATGCTTGTTTTTTATGTGGTCTGTAAACCTGTTTCTTCCCTAACCCAGGTGAATTTGACAAAGGTGTAGACCACCTGACCAATGCCATTGCAGTATGTGGTCAACCTCAGCAGCTACTTCAGGTGCTTCAGCAGACGCTGCCTGCTCCAGTCTTCCAAATGTTGCTCACCAGACTACCCAGCATCAGCCAGGTGAGAGTTACCTGCATCTCCTTGTTTTTTTTTGTTTAGCATCCTTGAAAACCCCCCAGTTGCTATTTGTGATTTCTGGGACAAGAAAGGGTGCAAGAATAAACCTTAGAATCATCCAAAGCTGAGAGCTGTGTGTCAGTAGCTCTCGGTTATTTCACCTCTAAGACAAAAATACTTAACGGCCCGTGTAACTGATTTGCCTTTCTGTAATGGGTAATCTCTGAAAGATATTTTCTTCCTCTCTTTCAGCGACTCATCGGCACTCAGTCTTTAGCAGAAGATGACGTCGAATGAACGTATGTGTGTGAATGAGATGGAAATCTATGAGGGAAGGGGGGTTTTAGACACTATCACTGCTGCACGGTTCAGTTGCTTGCGAATTCTGAGCTTCACTGGCCATCGGTTGAGATGAATTTCCCTCCATCACAGCACTTTGAGGTGGATGAACGTCTGCCAGGTTACATTTATCGAAATGCATTCCTCCTTTCCAACATATCGGTTATTATGTAGCCATTTGTTTGTATTTAAAGTGCAACCTAAGTATGTAAACAGGAATGTAGACGGTTTGTTCTGTTTGTGACTTGGACTGAAGTGAGTCTGTCTACAGAACACTTGCTTGTGGTGTAATGTTTATATAAATGATTTTGCAGGTTAATTAATATGTACTTTTTAAAAAACAAAAAACAAAGGCATTCCAGTCTTTCACCTGGGTTTTTGTTTTTTGTGTCTGTGTAATACTACAATAAAACATGATAACATGTGTTGACTTTTTTGATTGTCCACTTGCCAGTAGATGGCAGTAGCAATGCACAGGAAAACCTGAAGCATTTAGTTCTGAAATATGGAGCAAGGGCACTTTCACTTTCCCCTCAAAGGGTGTGCAGGAATTGGGGACAAATATGTTTGTATCAATAAATATTAATGAACATGGAGGGGAGTGAGCCAACCTATTGTACTTATCCCATCCATGTAGGTGCAAAACAAAAGATCTGTGAATTGCTGATATTAGTAATAAAACATGCTGCTGAAATGGGGTTAAATTGCTATCGTGAGAGTATTTGTTTCCAGCCAGAATGCTGAAACCTCATCTTGTACGAGTCCAATGAACCACAATGTCTTTATTGTGTGTGCAGGAATATAAAACTGGAGCAGCTTGTAGGGGAAGGGAGTGGGTCTGCTTGGATGTGTGTCTCTTGGAAGACAAATAGAGCTGTAATTATTTTTATCCCTCTCTGCAGCTGTTTTTTTCTTTCTTTTTTAAGGGCTCTGGCCAGAGCAGCCCAGGCCTCAAGTTTTGCCAGGAAACAAGAGTAGGGGGGAAAATAGTTTTTCAACATTAGGAATGAAAAAATGAACAGCGGCCCAGAAATGTCGAGTGCAGACTAAATGGTAGACAGTGTTCCATTTTCCATGAACTCATGTGATCACTCTTCAGTCTTTTCTCCACCACTCCTGGTGTTTAGCCACTTGGTGGAAATGGAGAAGCCTGTCAGGGGCCTGCAGAGTCCACTGGCGCTAGGTGTGTGCGTGCAGAAGAAGTGACTCGTTGTTAATCTATCCTTCGGGGAGGCGGAGAAGAAAAATAACAGACTGTGTTGGAGGTCAAGCTGAAATCTGTGGTCTGCTGCTGGCAGATCGAGGCTAGAAGCAGGTTCAGACTTCTCCACGGAGCGTAACACTGGCCTGCCTCTCCTGTAAATAAACACTGCTGCTGGCCTCGTGCTCTGTCCCCTGCAGACTGGAAGGAGCTCAGGGGTCACTGAAGGATGCCAGATAGGCCCCTCCTTCTCTGAAAGCGTGCCAGCACAAAATAAACCCATTGAAACAGGCCCTGACACGAGGACAGACGCTGTTTGATTTAAGGATGACACAGCAAATCCAGTTTCAGGGCAGAAACCACACCCGAGTGAAGAGTGGGATAATAATCTAATGAATGGAGTGCTCACTGTAATACTTTTAATATAACATCATTCTTTTAATTGCCTTGCTGCTCTATTTTCAGTCTGTATGAATGGGTTATGAGTCAGCTCTTTGTATCTGATGAAGCTGGCAGCGGGAAGAAGAAAAATGAAGAAACTCCCTGTTGTTTTGCAGTAGGGGGCACTGTTGCTCCAGGCTGTATTTGGACACCTCTGTGGCGTTACACTGAGCCGCAGACAGATTCACAGTTTGAGGACGACTGAATGGACAGAAGCTGAGAGCACAACAGTTCCAGTTGACAGCAATAACAATGTCTGTGCCTGCAGCACAGATACCCTGTGATTTTAAAAAATCCTTTTGTTGTTGTTGTTTTGCTTTACTAATGTGTGCACGGTGACACATAAACATCGCTCCACCACAGGTAGAGAAAATAACCCCACGATCATGGCACAGGGAATGCTCAAAGCAGCCTGACTGCCATTGTAATTTGCTGGAAGTGTTGAACTGGGAATATTATAATCAGTACAATAATCTGAACTCTGCAACTCATTAGTGGAAATCCTGTCAACAAATTATCCGCATCGCTAATGACCTTTGCTGTGTGTTATTGGAGTGTGTGAGTTTGAATGTCAAAGCCTGATTACTGCTTCTGTGTACCAAGTGCTATCTGACCGGTGGAGATGTCTGGTTATGTAGGAGCAGCTGTGTTTGGGATTTTAAGGCAGCCAGAAATAACTCGGTTGTGTGTGGTTGCTATGGCAGCTTCACGTAGACTCTCGGTTGAACCGGTCTGCATTTGAGACCCTCTGAGTGTTGGCTTCTGAGCAGCGAGGGGGGTATTTGCTGCCTGTAGCTTGCTGATCGGTGTCTGTGTCCTGCTGCTGCTGAAGCCATGGCTGTGGTGCTCAGTGCCCTCACTTTGTGCGCGCAGCACCAACACGGTATATTAAATACCCGCCACCTTTTTTTCTTCTCTTTGTCAGTCACCAGCGAGGGGAAAAGAAGACGGAGAAAAAAATTTCCAAGGCACGTCCTAAAAATAAAGCAGCACTGTCTGTGCTCAGAGTATTAACTTCCACACAGATGACCCATTTTTCCATCTCAAAGGGTCTGAGGATGGTTGGAAAGGAAAAAAAGGAGGGTGGGATGGGGAGGCAAGAGTGGAGCCAATCACGTGAATCTAAAGGAGGCTACAAATCCTGGCAGATTTCTCTTTCTCTGTGGGGTAATGCCTTGCTGTCATCTGTTTTTCCATTACTCTGCTGCTAGTAACTGAACTTGTGCTGCTGCTGTTGCTGCTAGCTGCTGCCAGGCAGGTTTTGTCCTCCATGTGTAGGCCTGCCTATTGAGCTCTGTTGTTTACATTCCCCGTGAGTGGGAGCCAAAGGGTGTGGGTGCCCCCCTTTTCTCTCCCCCACTACCAACCACTCAACCATACTGACTGCCTCTCTCCCTCTCTCTCTCTTTGCTAATGTCAGCCCCCACCCTGCCTCCAGCCTCCAACCTATCTCCCGATCACTAAATCTCTGATAAGGCTGAAATTCAATAGCGTGGCTGTTGCCTGAGAGAAGTGAGTGCGTCACATGACCTGTGAATTCCTGTTTACACTGAGCGGTTTTCATATTTCTGGTCTGATAACGCGAGGGCTGAAATTTTGTGATGAAGTGGAACAAAAGGGGAGAATATCAAAAGAACGTGTCACTCAGCATCAGTTCTCACCCTGTCATTGGCGTTATCTGCACAATCTAGGCATGCAGTTAAGCTGCAAGGGGGGGAAAGACGCACATACACACACACAAGCTGAACTGGAGGGTGAAGAAAGGGTTAACTAAGCAGACTGTGTGCACAGTTTTTTCTCTCCTCCCCCTCCTCCCTGTGATCTGCCTTCCTGTCTCACAAGCAGTGCAATGCAGAGGCTTTGAACATCATGAGAGTCAGACAGGCTTGTTTTGCATACTGTAAGTCTCCTGCATTGACTTGTAGCAAATCCTTGCCCTTGGGAGGCACGTCAGAGGGGATTAATGGGAGGGCCGGGGCCTCACAGAGTTTCCCATTGTCGTGGCTGTGCCCGCACTGTATTTTCATCCCGCAGAGTGAGAAAAGAGTGAGCAGGTGGGGAGGTGGTGGTGGTGGGGTGTGTGCAGCTTGTGTGTGTGAGAAGGAGGGGGGAGGGGGTTATACAGTGGTGTTATTTCCCTCTGCCCTGATTTTTGGAGCTGAGCTGTAGGGAGGGGAGGACAGTGTAAATAATGTATTTGGAGCGGCGGGGTAGAGGGAGATGGAGCTTGACCGAGCTTAGAGCGGGTGGAGGGGGAGGGAAGGAAGGGTTGAGCGGCCATTCTGCTGCACAGGAAGCAAGGGGGTTGGAAGAAGGGGAGGTGGAGGTGGAGGGGGGAGCAGAGGAGGAACTGTACGAGCTACAACAACAATGTTGCTGTGGTGGTGCTCTGGGGAATATGGGGCCTCCGCAAGAATGTGGCAATCCTCTACTTCCGCTCTGCTTTCTCACTTTTAGCAAGACAAACAGTTTGCTGCTGCAGACTGCCGCTAATGATGCAAAGTTAAGAATAATGTAGGCGTAATCTTACAGCTGGTAGGACTTTCTCACTAAGAGCAACGATTGCAAAATGACACCGGCCGACCTTCTACAAAGCACGCATGCTAAAATTCAAATTTAAAAAAAGATTTGAAAGGTGAGGCAAGGGACACATTTTGCATTTCATGCTTACAAGCTCGCCACAAAGACAGAAAACACAGAATCATGCAGCCTAACTGTACAAAGCATGCACAAGTATCTCTAAACTGTTAAAACAGACAAGTTTGCAGGTTTTCTTTTACACTTCCAAGAAACTGCATTAAATGGCACAAGCCACGTCTGACACATTTTTGCAGAGCACTGAGCTGTGGTGTCATTTTTCAAAAATAGATACACAAACACGTCAACAGCCAAAAATAAGCTAAACCTGCAAAGTGACTTAAAGGCAGTTGCTGTTTTTTTTCCCCTAACCTTTTATCATTCATGTTTACGTCCAAATAACACCAACTTCACAGGCATTAGCTTTAAACTACTCATGCAGGCACTGAGTGATTGTTTACATACATACATTTTTATTTTTTAAAGCCTGCATGCTAGCTAGCCTCATCATACCTTATTTAAAGAAGTGTAAAAATGACGAATAACCATTATTATGGGGGATGTGTGCTGGACTGTCTCTAGTATTGTGTGTTTTCCACCTTGGTCTAACGTGTGCTAAGCTAAGCTAAGCTACCTGTGATTACGAAAAATCACAGGTTGCACGGTGACTGCATTGCGATGTGTGTCTTTCCAGTTTTCCGGTTATATTTATATATAAAAACGCTGCTGAGGGCCTGTGTTATTTCGCACTTCAATTGCCCGCATTCCTATTTGTGGAGAAATTTCAGCTTTTTTTTTTCAGATCTATCTCTATCTTTCCGTGTTAGCAGGCAACCATAACTAAATCGTTGCATGTAATTGCCAACTTGACCCCATTCAGTCACAAATGGATTGCAGACTGATGCCATTCATTGCCGTTTTGTCGCCATCTTGATGCGGCAGCGTTACTTTGAAGATGACAGCCGACTGCGCAGCCGCAAACTCTCTTCAAAGCTATCATTTCAAAGACAAAGAGATTGCAAGTTCATTGCACACAGTGGCATTACTTTTGGTCGTGCCGCAGTCTCAAACCACTGTTTACCCTAGTTGGACTTTGGCATAAGCCGGAGGCTATAGCAGCTTAAATGGCGTACATGAGAGCAGTGTTGGTCTTTGCATGAACACAATTGAATGTATTTTACAAAAAACCCCTCTGTTCCACTACCA